TATATGTTTATTCAGAGAAAGTACGTTTTTGTGTCTGATTTCGTAACTTAATTAATAGTTAGCACCAATTAATTAGCATATTTGAGGTCACCCCCAGGAACCATTAAGACTAACTTTTAGTTCGTGAAAATCCGATCATTAGAACGAAAGTTATTTAGGGTGATATCTTTTTTTTCTTCTGCGGACTGTACATTTTCGACATGTTAGCCATTCAGTTCTATTGAGTACATTCTGACGATAGCGGAAAGGGGGAAAAAAAAGTACGGTGATTTGTATCTTGCTCTCTTCATTTCTGTAAAGCATTGCCACAATTTGTGCTACAAGTTGTTGATATATGTAATAGAAAATTTTAATTGATGATAACTTTTTGAAGATAAAAATAGGTGATGCCATTTGAAAATTTCGTTATTATGTCTCCACCACAGTAAATCGAGAACTGGATAATTGATTTTAACTAGATTCATTAGAACATTTTTATAATAAATATTATTCTGTTCTTTCGAACGGTATGCTCTACTCTACACGAGTTTTCAGTTGACTAAGAAATTTTATAATTATCTTGTGTAATAAATTTTATACAGATTAAAATGTAAAATACTTCAAAATTTCAAACTTTTAAGTTGTTGACGTTTGAGAATTTGTTCGCTGATGCTGATGCAAAAATTATGATTCCATTTCTTGATTTGGAAAACTTTTTTTAACCATAATTCTTCTTCATTTATGGAAGAAGATCTAATTTATCCTTTTCAATTTATCAAGTAAAAAAAATAATGTGGAATAAAGTCTTTGTACACATTTTAAAATTTTGATAGCCATTCTTCTTATTATTTTTCGAGTTTTGTTTCTTTAACTATTCTTCGATCGGTTTTCAGTTAATTTTATGGAAAATATATGCATTGTATCCTATGTATATCTTAAAGCCACGTTGGCCTACTTCATTAGGTGCCCAATAGCTATGCTTACTGTTGACATTATAATGCCTTTTTACCTTTAAAAAGCCTGCTGAGTAAACTTGACGTGACATGCAAAGGGAGCTACTTATATTTCGTAATCGGAAAAAACAATCAACCCCGAGATATTTCGCGAGGTGCGGAGTATTTCTTTTCGCACAACTTCACGATCTCGTGACTTGCCGTATTTATAGCAAATGTATAAACATTTGAAATCCGTAATTGCGTATTGAAACGGTAGTAATATTGCGCTTCGGACAACAACTATTTCAAAATGATGAATAAAACATTAGAAGACGCTTTGCTTTTCCATAATATCCTTTTAAGTGTTGTACCTCATCTGCGTTTTAGCAAAGATGTTTAGTATATCATGTGAATATTTAATAAAGGAGAGCAAATGTAGCTGGAACTTTCAGAAATATTGCATTGCTAATGTTATTCATACATCTTTTTAATAGCATTTATGTTTTATTTCGAATTTTACTTAAAAGACATGTTTATCAATTTCTTTTTAAGATTTTCCCGCTATTTAGAAATTTGTGTCCGAAGTTTCTTTACAATGAAATTCTTACTAAGTTCTTCATAAATTAAAGAAAAGAAAAGTTCAAATCTTAAGTTTATCTTAATAGCATAAGGAAGGGGTGGCCAAGTTTTTTCATTTAGCCTGATAGATATCCTGATAGAACTTTTCATAACTCTAGCGCATTGAAAACCACTATTTCTCATCACAAATGTCTGTAACTCATTTTACTTCATTTTAGACATATATTTCAGTTCCCATTTGTTCTTAATATAAACAGCATGTTTTTTTATTAAGCAAGTAATATTTTGCTTATAATTTTTTAGAAATTATTTCTATATTCATGTACTAGACACAGTACCATAATTTAGTAAGTTTTTTTCCTCTTCACTCCAGGAAAATACACCAAAATGGAGTCCTGCAATGGTGAAACCTAAACCTACCGTTGGACCTCCAAAACCATGTCCAAAATGGAGTCCTACAATGGTCAAACCTAAAACTGCTGTTGATAAGGAACCGGACTTTCCGAGGATTATATCTGTGACTGTTGATAAATTTTTATCCAGTCCAAAAACATTCGGATGTGAAAAGGTCATATTCGAGCTGTTTGGTATGTCTTTACTTATTAATAAATATATACATTGAAAAATGACTGAAATATAGTGAGTTATGATAAATAATTTTAATTTTACATTCAAGAATAACAAACTTAATCACAATATATGAAAGTAAATGTTTAAACTTTTGTCCTCTTTTTTTATTTATTTGCGTGCAAAGCAAAGGAATAGCTTTAATTTTTAATCTGTTTGTTTAATTAAAAAGAATAAGGAAAAAAAATCAAGCTCTTTCATTGTCTTTTACCAAGAACAGATTTCACCAAAAATAAGCGAAAGTTCCCACACTGTCAACTTATCAACCCATTCTTCCTGGTAGACGAAATCTGTTTGCGTGCAATTCATAACAATCGGAAGATGATGCTTTCTTCTTTGCAAAGATTTGACCTTTACTTAAGAAATCGTAAGATAAAAAAATAATAAAAAGAAAGAAACATTCAATAAAGAGAAGAAATGCTTTGAACGAATGATGCATTTTCAAGATAACGTTGTTAAATAAATATGTATGATTATTGTATCCAAATAAATTGTATCCATATAATTTTATCAGTTTTAGAGAACATTTGTGTGCAAATTTTAAAAAGTGTATACTTACTTTCGTGATTCAGATTATGCATGCTTTTTATGGGTATCCACATTTTTATACGAATCATTTTGGAATAAGTCATTCTTTTAAACATAATCAAGCAGAAATAGCGTTGCATATTGCAAAAGAAATCTTTTTCGAAAATCAATTTTTTAAAACTGTTTTCAAAAATTTTATTTTTAAGTTGATAATATTTTCAAGGGAAAGAAAATAGATGTCAAGCCGCTTTTCTCGAAATCTACCGAAGCACTTACCTTTTTTTCCCCTTCAGAATTCATTGCTAAATATGTTTTCATGATCTCAAATGTTTTAAAATTTGTTAATAATATTTGTTTTTAAAAAATTTTAAAACACAAAATAGCAATCTATGTAAACTTAATATTACGGTAGTTTAAAAGTATCATAAAAGCGCTGAATTACTTCTCTTTTTTTTTCTTGGCACCTATTTTAAATTTTTTATTAATAATGGAAAATGCAAAGATAACAAAAATTTATTCAGCATCAAGTTATTACGAAAAAATTTATTATAAACTTCTACAATGCGGAAAAAAAGAAAAGAAAAAAAAAATGTATTACAAACTTCCCTGAGCTTGAATTTTGAACTAACATGACGATGTAGTTCTACACTCGATTACAATTGCAAACACAAAATTATCAAAATTATCGAGAAAGTGCTATTAACACTTATATGAGTGTGATTTTAGACATTAGCTCTACAAATACGATAATATCAGAAACACATCATATCCATCATTAGTTTCCCTCGATTAGAGAATATCCGCATTTAAAACAGTGTCTGCTTCACAAAAAAAAAAGAAGAAAAAAAAAAAACTAACGATGTCGATGAAATATAGCTTCATTCATAGTGCACATTAGAGAATTAATATCGATAATAATTATTGCAGTACAATGGTTATCTTGGAGAGAAAGTAGGGTACATCGTAATGATTGGGAATTGCGAAGCAACTTATGACCAGAAATGTCATTGCAAGTCACTGAAGTCGACTCCTCATTATATGAAGGCTGCTCATGCGCATTTAAAACAGTGCTTTTATTTATTGAAATCTTATTGGAAATCTTATTGAATATCTTTATTGGAAAAAAACCGTATTTTTAGAAAGGGCACCAAGTCCAAATGGGTTAACATTATGTAGCTAATATTATTATAAATTTTTGTGACTCTTAAGTACCTTGAAAAAAATATTTTCTTAGAGCTATAAACAGCGAATTACTACTTTTTTCCAAACAAAAAACCGCTCAAAATAATGCTTTCAATTTGTTAAAAGTCGAAATTTTCTAAGGTTGTATCTCAACCATTTTTTTTTCTTTCACGATACACTGAATTTGCTTTTTCTATTCTCCGATTTGACTCAAATTATGGATTTGAAATTAATATATGCAAATTCTTAATATTAAAATGTTAATAAAGATCAGGAAATTTTAAATGTCAACAGTTACATGACTATTTACATTTAAAGTTTAATGTTCTAATTTAAAGTGTCGTTTTATGGAATGGGATAAAGATAAAAGGTAGTGAAGGTTTCAAAAATCGAAAAAAAATTTCAAAAAGTTTAAGGAAATATCTGGGCATGTTTGACGTAACAGACTTATTTTTGCTTTCACTTAAATTTTTAACAGATCTGGATTAGTTCTAATAAAGTAGTTCAAGACATTCTTATACCATCCATTAATAAATTGACAAAATATAGTTCGTAAAATAGTCTACGTACTAGCTGATCAATCAACTATGTATTATTTTATGAAAAAAATAATATTATCAAATATTATTATTTTTAAACGATAACGGTTCCGTTATTAACGCAAAAAATAGGAAATCATTCCACTTTGAGAACATTTCCTTTTAACCCTTTTCGGAACAGCAAATTCCGATTAAAAATTTTAATCAGACAGGACAGTAGCAAGTATAACCTTAGACAGTTTAGCTTCTGGTTGTTTAAAGAATAGTGGTTTCTAATCGTCTAAACACAATTAGTTTTACAGCTCTTGTTCGTAACATTTGTTGAGTTAGTAAAACTGGCTTCACTACGCCGGAAAGGATTAAAAAGTGGTAACTCAGTTGCTTTGTTCTTAGCATTTGCGAAATTTGAGAAATTAAGACGTTAGTGGAAACTATAATATATTAATATAAAGTTCTTTAATCCGATCTTAAAAAATTTTCTTTTGCTGTTTCTTTAAAACTAAATATTGTTCCTGGTTACATTGTACTAAATATGGTACTCTTTTTACAAGAAAAAATACGAGTTCTGCACTTTAAATTTATTGAAAATGTATAATAACTTATTTCAAATCTTTTTTTAATTATTTAACAAACCGAAATAATTCCTATTTAATTAAGAAATAGCATTTAAAATCTATTATATGTTAGTAATACTATCGTGGTTATCTAGGTAGATACAAATTAAATAAGGGGGACAAATGCTTTATAAGCTTATTAAACGTTTTAGTTTTGGAAAAACCTGATCGAACAAATACTTGATCTGATGTTTCCGATAGATAATAGCAAATAATAAGGACACTTATTTGAGTACATCATAATATTAGCAAATATTTATTTCTCAGAGCTTTTAATAATAGGCCGCAAAAATGATACATTTAGTCTCTTTTTCTAAGAAAAACCACTACTAATAGCTTTGATTTTTGTTAACGATAAAACTATTTCTGCCAAAGCTAAAATAATTGTAAACTTTACAGGTAAGTTCATTTCCTGCCAATTAGTCTGGATAAATACAGACAGCCATTCGTTTAGTGAGATAAAATCTATATTTCACTAACCGAAAATCATTTATTTATCGCGAGAAGTAATATGTTTAAGCATCGAAAGTGAAAATTTTCAAATATGACCCACTGGACATCGGGAAACCCAAAGGCCCAAGTTTTTATTTATAATAAATATATATTTATAATAAAAAATTGTGAAGCAAATAATTGAAATAAAGGTTTCCCCTTTGAGAGTATTGAAGTTGGCCGTATAATGGCCGTAGTGATTCAGGTCATTACAATCATGAAAAGCCAATGTATTTCCAGCATGCCCGATTTAAATATGGGGATTTTGAAATGTGATAGTTTGTAAGATTTTTATTTACGTAATTGAACATCATTCAAAATGGAAAATTTAAAAATCTTAATAAATTCAAAAATATGACTCCAGGGAGCATTTGGGATTTTCTCAATGACTATTTATTTCGAAGTATTATTGCCCATTAACTCTGAAACTTATCTTTTAATTGGAATATTGAATGTTTATGGCTGTTTGAAATCGAATAATTTTCTACGTCTTAAAATTTATTAAAGATATCTATTTTAAGCTATGAATTAATATAGAATGACTCCTTAAGAGGCATCCTATATACTCCCACACTTTTCTGCTCCTTGTTCCTTTGAAAATTCCAATTAACACGAGAAACAAATGACCTTAACATTTCGTATTTTAAACCGAGGTGTATTACCGCCTTCTTCCTAACGCCACGCTCTACATATTAGTGAAGTGTGGGCACTTGGTGGTCACTCGAGGGAATTTTCGAAAACTTCTTATCTGGACTGTATGATTAAATTGCATAAGAAGTGAACTTATCGAGAGAAATTATTAATTCCAGATTTGAAATCAGCAATTCGAAAGTGTCTAATATGTTTTAAAAAATCTTATGCAATGCTTTTTTCTTCTGCTCTTTTTGTTTAAATAGTTCCTTAGTGTAATCAAAGAAAAAGAACTTGACAGTTATGTAGATATAAGACCAGGATATAAGTAGTTCGTATTCCGATAAAACAATATTTTTAAATTTGGTGTACAAGGATTTTGAACGGTATGTGCATTTAAGCAATCGAATGATATTTAAACAATTGAAATGGTTAGTATGTGCAAAAGACATCATAGTTACTTTGTTTAGCTTTTAAGTGGTAGCAGAATTAAACGAATTTCGCTTATACACATTGTGATTCCTTTGTCATTTACTGCGGAGGGCTAAGACGTCAGATTTACAAACTTTGCTAATGGTACATTAACCGATTGTAAAAAGATTTAAAAATGCTCGGTGTGCAAACTTTCGAACTTATCTTGTTTTTAAATGGGTTTTATAATCTTATGTTTTAACATTTGATTTTCATTTTAATTAATTCATTTAAAATAATTTTGACCAACCTAAAAAGAACTTATTTTGGGAAGTAAAGTTCTTATTACTTAGACTCTTCTGTGTTCTGCATAAGGCCTCCTGCTTACTTCTCCTTACTTCCCAGTCTTTCGCTTGGGAACTGACATCCTCTAATTCTTCAAAGCCTGTCCTCTTAAAATCTTAATTGCATTTTTGTTTGTTAACTCATTCATGGTCAAAAATTTGTACAATTTCTCTGCTATTATTCTTAGCACATGGCCGGTAAAACTTCACCCTCTCTTGT